GGTTTAGGGTTTAGGGTTAGGATTAAGGGCTGAGTTCTTGGTTGTGCTGCTGTAGCGTTTACTTGTCACCTTATCCTTTTTTCGCTTAGAGCTTGTTAAAGATGCGTCTGCAATGTCAGCAGCAGGCCACGGATCTACCTTTGGTGCTGGACTTCGGAAATTTGGATTTCGGGAAGTAGCGCTGAGAAGCTCAGAGGGTTGCGGCTCTAGCATAAATTATGGGTGTTGGTGGTGATCATTGCGAACTCAGTTCCCGTGAAGCTCGCCAACTCCAAGATGTTACACCCTCTGTCCTGCACCCTCAATCCTGGCCTAGACTTCCCTAGTCCTTAAATCCCAAATTTGGAGCGCGAAACTCTAACCAACTCCTTCCCATTATGGTGGTGATCATCAGTCTTGTTACTGTGATAATTATCGTTATTGCTCTTATTATCATTCTTATGTTGTTTGTGAGTTTGTTTCTAAAATATGTTCGTCCTGAAGCCGCAAGCCAAGCCAGCCCCGTTCGAGAAGGCTCGTCTCTGCCTCCTAGATAGCCAACGGAAGAACTTTTAAGCTCCCGAAACCTACCCTAGATTCCTAGATAGACAGCGGAAGAGCTTTAAGCTTTCTGGCTTCACAAGTTTGGTCTATCTTTTTTGGGCCCGGTTGTTGGCAATGAGAGCTACGGAGGCTTCTTGGAAGGTACCATGAAGGAGTCTTAGGGCTGAGGGTTAAAGGACTAGTAAGGAGCTACTGGGAACCTAGGTAAGTGGTCAGGTTCGGGCTCGTTCTGTAAATGAGGGCTTCCTAACAAGAGGGTGAGCCACTGTTTTAGTCCGGCGGCCCTCTTACAGGGACCCGAGGATACCGGCTTTGATGCTTTCGTGAAGCATTGTAGCGACAAACATCCGGTTCCAGGTCCATACAACAGTCCAGTGATCACGAAACCCCAAACCCCAGCCCTAAAGCTTCGACTGGAAGCCTTACATCTTTAAACCGTAAACGCTAAATCCCAACCAATGCCACGAACGCGGAAGGAGCGACTCAAAGCCGTGAAGGAAGCAGAGCGCGGTCGTGTGCGGGCGGTACTACTGCAGGCGCAGGCAGAGGGATACACTTCGATGCCAGTTTTCCTGCAGACTCTCATGCCTTTTCCATGTGGAGGTCTTGGCCTGAAAACTTCCAAAGAGGGATCCCAAACTCGAAACCCCTAAACCCCGAAACCCTAAACCCTCAACCCCAAAGCACTGCTTAGAGTTTAGGGACAAACTTAAAGAGATGCTGCCGCTGCAGCCCCTGTAGTAGGGGCGGAAGCCTCGAAAACCTGAATGTTGAGCTATGTTTCATGTTCAGCAACACGAGGCGCTCTCACAAGTGTTCATGCCATTTTGCAAGCATGCCCCAAACCCAGCTATATAGAGCGATTTTGCCTCTTTACGCAGCGTGCGTCTCGTTGAAAACATCTACGGCTGGGTCTGGCTCTCGCAGTTGGATCCCAAAGTGGATGTCGCGGATCACTTGTGCTAAAATGACTAAGTTTGAATCCTGGATTTCCTGAAGCACGAAACTCTCCATTTCCACAGCCACACTCACGAAGTCATGAAATTTACAGAACTTGCCGTGTTTGTCCTAAAACATACAGTCCCGCCGCCACACGGCCAGATCTCAACATGTGACCCCGTAAGGACCCCTAACCACTCAACCATGCTAACTCGTAACCAGGGTAGGATTATAGTATATTCGGGTATATGAGGGTGTATTAGAGTGAACCATAGTATTTTCGGGTATATTAGTGTACATTAAGTGCATCATATTTACTATATTCGGATATGATAGGGTGTACACCAGTGGATTATATATATATATATATATAGATATATATATATATATATATATATATAGTCTATTCGGGTATATTATAGTATGTATACTATTCAAAGTGTACGTCTTGGGCCCAAGAAGGAGCATAAACGTCTTTGACACCATTGTCCACACCAACTTGATAGATAGAACGCTCTGAAACTTCCCCGATGACACCCTTCGGAATGCCTTGAGAACCGTTGTAGTCTTCCCTACTGTCAGGCCCCTACAACCTTCTTCTGACTGCTACGGCTCCTACATTACGGCCTTATAATATAAGCCCTTGTAAAGAGCTTTTGCGAACCGTGAGGCTTTCTAAAACCTGCAATAAACCCATAACCACCCTTTCAAGAGCCTTGATAACCCTCTAAACCCCCATAGAAACCCTTTCGAGATCAATTACAAAAACCCAAAAAAGCCCCGCGCCAGGCCTTCAACAAACCCTTTCAACACTCTTGTTGAGAGACCAAGAACCCCTTCAAAACCCTCGGGACCCCTTCGAGACCCCTCCTAAACCCTAAACCCTAAACCTTAAGACCCTCAACCCAGACCCAAACCCCTCAGGGCAACGTCTTCAGCTCCGGCCACGATTTCGGCGACTTTGCGGCCGAGAAAGGCCGGCAAGCCTCGGCCTCATCGGTGACGGTTGTGGTTGCCTTTTGCTCTAAGGGGTTTAGGGTTTAGGGTCTAAAGGGCTTAGGATTTAGGGTTTACGGTTTAGGGTGGCTGTGTTTTTTTGCTTTAAGGGGTTTAGGGTCTAGGGTTTAGGGCTTAGGATTTAGGGTGGGGTCATGGGTTCTTTTAGGGTCTAGTGAGATGCTGCTTGCTTTGTCTAGCTTTTTGTGAGGAATCAAGAGTTAGGGGTTTGGAGTTCAGTATTAACGGTGTACTTAGGGATTTTCAGGATCGGTTTTTTCTTGTTGGGTTGGGGAATCGAAGTCGACATTCTCAAGGGTCTGATTGCAGTTGAGTTAAGTGCCCCACCAGTTTCTGTAAGGGCTAAGTAGGTCCTTCTTTGCTGTTGCCTTGCTTTCTCCAGGATTGAGGGTTCGGGGTTTTGATTTTGTTTGAACGGTCTTGGCCCTATGGTTTGGAGCCCACGTCCCAAACCCAAAGCACTTGTGTTGGGTGCTTAAGTATGGTTTTCGTTGCTAGCTTAAGTATGGTTTTCGTTGCTATGAGGTATCATAACACTTCGGTTTTGTGTGAGGATTCGGGCAGTTGAGCTCGAAGGGTTTAGGGCTGTGTGCGGTTGCCATCATGATACTTTCATGAATACGTGGGTTATGGCTTTTGTATGGCTATGAGCTATTATGACTATGATCATGATGATGAATATGATGATGATGATTATTTTTGCCATTATGGCTGTTATAACACAGGGCTTAGGTTTAGAGTTCCGGGTTTATGGTGTTGGGTTTGGGGCTCGGGTTGTCAGAGCTCCAAGTTCAGTTCACGGTGTCGGATTTGGGGGGTAGGATTAAGGGCTCAGGGTTTGTTTGTTTGTTGTTTGTTGTTTGTTGAGTTTGCCTGCGCCGTCATAGTGACGCAGTTTTGAGCATGCACGTGTAGTCGTTCCGGACCAGGACCGTATTGCATGGAGTGGAGTGGAGCTTAGGGTTGCGTGTTTCGGATTGCGGCCTTGAGATGCGAAATTGCTGAGCGAGTGCGAGGGCTCAAATAGAATTTGGAATAGAAGCCTGAGCAATTAAATAGTTGGTAATTACTGCTCGTCCTCGGGTTCCTCAATTTAAATACAGTACACCATGCCTATATTGTTGAAACCCCTATGTGACGAGTGAAGTCCTCAGGGGCCCAGACAGGGATCCTAGCTTGTCCAACTGAACCCGACCCACGTCCCAACAAGACAGGGGCAGGAACGTGTACTTTTCAGCTCAGACCCCTTACAGATATATATATATATATATATGAATATGAATATACACACAGAGACCTATACCGCGCAAGTTGTACCTCAACCTACCGTAAACTCTACTATGTTGTGTGTTGATTTCGACCTGTTACATGTAATCCTGGTCGAACCCTTATACCTCGAACATGCATCCCTTGAAGAACCCTGTGGCGCGCCATGTTCTACATATCGCGCAGCATGAGTTTAGAGTTCTATGTGGCGTAGCACTGGTAGTTTCATGCATGATTCAAACTTTGTTCTTGACTAACTCGGAGGCCTTGAAGCCACTTTATTTGTTTGGGTTTAGGGTTTAGGGCTGTAGGGGTTTAGGGTTTGAGGTTTAATAGCTTTCTTGCAGTGCTACAGCCCCAGATCCTGAGCCCTCAACCCCTTAAACCCCTCAACCTGCAATTGCTGCACCCCGAGACCTGCAACCCCCAATCCCCAAACGCCCCACCGCCCAAGCCGCAGGGGTTTAGGGTTTAGGGTTAAGGCCCACACGGCAAAACTTGAATCCGAACCTTAGACCCAGGCCCATGAGAGGACTCTGAAGATGTGCTCCGAGGCTGGCATGCATCAAATAAGGGGCCGTGGGAGAATGAAGTTGCCTTGCGGCAGGGAGCCTGAATCATGTTTCCGGTTTCAGACGAGGTTAAGTGCGTTTTTTCCGAACTGCAGATTCGGAAACCCAAAAAGCTGGAATCCACAACCCCACACCCCAAAACCCTAACAACCTGAAAGCCTTAACTCCCGGTAGAATTCTTCCAAAGCGCTATAAAGCCATGTACAGCCCTTAGTCTTTTCCTGACATCCCCTAAATCGTGAAGAGAAGCTATCTAAAGATGGGATAAACGTAGGTGGCATTTTCGGATCGTGTATCGGAGGATTTTAGATTGGGATTTATTTGTGATTTCTTCGCCTGCCTTTGTCCCACCCGTCGAGCTTTTTCGAGAGGTGAACATGCTGCTGCAAGAGATCCCACAGCCCACCATCGCCGTGGCTCGAAGCTCAGCCACGGAGTCTTCTTCGATAAGTTTTTACAATCATGCCAACTTAAACGGTACATCTTGATAAACTGAAAGCTGTGTTGTTCGACTTCGGGTGTCGGGTTTCGGATGTTAGTTTTCGGGTTTGGGCTTCCAGCTTCGGCTTGTGTTTGCAGGGATTCGGCTTGGTTTGAGGTCTGGAGCTTAAGATTTCAGGGTTTAGAGTTTGGGTTTCAGGGCTCGTGTCTCGGAACGAAATGTAAACCGTAAACCACTAACCCTGAACCCTACACCCTAACCTACGCCCCTAAGGGATCGAAGTGCCGCAAGATCCTCGCGGCGAGAAAGTTCGCGAATTTCACGAGAAGCTCGTGGCTGAGGCTGCTGGTAAGTTGGCACCCATCGACGGCTGGCTTAGGGTTTAGGGTTAAGGGTTTAGGCTGAAGTATGCATCCATCGTAGGATCGCACACCAACCAGGCTCTTCGATCCTTCAAGGCTGGGTTGGAGCAGGATGACCCATTGGTGACGGTAGACGGGCATCTCTCCATGCCCAACCCCGGGATCCAAGGAGTCCTCAAGCTTGGAAACCTGAGCCCTAAACCCTAAACGCCAGAATCCCTAAACCCCCAAACCATAATCCCCTAAAAACCTAAGGCCCTACAGTCCTAAACAAGAGGGTGAATGGTAGAGGTGGTCTTTCAGGTCTTCGTTCAATAGTGTTTGTATGCGGATTAATGTCAACGTAGACGCGGATTACAGAACTGCTGCTCTTCTGCCAAAAGACATGCAATGAGGATACTGTGGTGCTGTGGGGCCTAGCAACCCTCAACGCTCAACCTTGCGAGTTTGGGCATGGACTGAAGGGCTGAGTTTCCCATGTAATGTAGGAACCTGATTAAGAACCCCTGGCCCTACAATCCCAATATAGGGTTCATATTAAGAACCCAAATAAAGGCCCAGGCTTTCTTAATCAGGTTCCTACATTAGGCTCTCGGGCATCAGGACTGGATCAGCTTCTGCAGTCCTTATCGATATCCATGTGGCCTGAATGGTTTTGCTTAGCCTAGTAAGCAAAGTCTTCCCGAAAACCGCTATTCTAGCTATGAAGGTCCCTTTAGAGCTCTTGAGGCTTACATGGTATTGGGGTTTAGGATTTGGGGTTCAGGGTTTAGGGCTGGAGGGCTCTAGAGTTGCAGGTTTCTTTGGGTGAAGGGTTTCAAGGGTTCTAGGAGGCAGGGTTTAGGGCAACCCGAAATGGTTCCCATGGGCGTATTGCAGTGTTTAGGGTTTATGAAAGAGGGTTTCACAACAGGGGTTGGTTGTACAATAGGTCGATCAGGTTGTTTGGCGGGGTGGTCATCCTTTTATGACTGACAGGCAGGAGAAAGGCTGCCCATTCGGGGGAGCTGGGGGGGCGGAATGCTGCACCCCAAACCCACAACCCTTCAGAAAATGGATCCCAAACCCTAAACCCAGTAGCGCCCGCAGCCCAAGGATCCTCCAAGCACCGGAGCCGTCGATTTGCAAGCCGAAGTCAACTGAACCCGAGACTCCCCAAACCGCCAAGCCCTCAAAGCCCTACCGTAATGTAGGGGCCTAAATAGTCACCTATATTATTGTGGGGGCTCCTTATTATAATTATCGTATAAAGGGCCCCAGAACCCTATTCTAATTCTTAAGGCGCCTACATTACCCCTAAACCCTAAAGCTCTAAGAACCCTAACCACCCCCCCTCAACAAACAATGCCGAAGCACCACGCATTAAACCTTAAATTCTATATGGGTAGTTCTCTAAATTAGAATTCTTTTTTAGGCCCCCAAAATAGTATGGCAACCTTATAAAACGGACACTAAAAGGGAACTTCATTTGGAGAAGTACCCTTATTGACCCGAAGCAGTGTTTGAGGTGCAAGGGCTGGCGACCGCTGCGGGGTGCCAACTGGCGTGTTCGTGCGCCCAACTCAGAAGCACTTGGGTTCTGCAGGTTCAGGCTCATGGGTTTAGGGTTCAGGGCTCATGGGGTTTATATGTGCTCCGAAAACCGGGTGCTATAAAGTGTTATAATTACAATCCGCTTACGAGGTTTATTGTTGTTCTCTCAAAAGAGTGTTGCTAACGGGGTTCTATCAGGGTTGTATAACGGTCTGCTACGGGCTTATGAGGTTTGCATGAGCATTCTCAACTGCGGGCGACTCTCCTCACTCCTTTTGTGCATTGCATTCTGCTGAATTCAAGAGCTCGCGGGATCGACCATAAGGGCGGTAATATAGAAGCTTAAATAATTACCTATACTATTTGGGGGGTCCTTGTTAGAATTATACTAGTATGTACCCCAAACCCTATTCTAATTGTTAAGGCCCCCGACGTTATGGTTTCAAGCTTGCAGGGTTTGGGTTTAGTCTTCGAGAGCGCATGGCCTGAGAGCATATCAGGCTTAGGGGTGTTGGGCTCAAGGGCTTCTGGGTAGTTCTCTAAAAATAGGGTCCTTTCGGGGGGCCTTTGTAAACAAAGGTGCCGTACTATATTGGGACCCTAATTTAGAGAACTGCCCTTATAGTGTATGGCTTCAGGACCCTCCAAGCTCCAGGAGTTATGGTTTCAGGGTTTTGCTACTTGGGAGGTTTAAGATCATGATGACCTTCTGCTTATAATTATTTCTTGGAGTGGTAGAAAAAAGGGCAAGGCCATGATATGTGTGCACCTTGAACCTTTTGGGGCTCATGTAATCCGACCATAAATTGAAAGTTTAGCCTTTCTTGGGCTCGGGTACTTCGCCCCTAAGCTGACGGTGTAGCTGAGCGCCGGCGTTCACTCTATCGGCTGCCGAAGATCGGCGATAAGCACGGAAGGCTGCGATTCGAGTTTAGGGTTCGCCGATTAGGGCTTAGGGTTCCCAACTTACTCTTGCTGTTGTACAAGACAGTGCCATGGTCTCATGATGCAAACTCTGCACGTCCCTTTGCGAAGATCTTGGCGAGCAGCTACCAAGCTACACGACATTTGTCCGTTTTCTTGAAGGCCATTGCCAATTTCGCTTGGCAGTGTCGTGCGTCACAGCATTGGCGCAAGGTCCAGGTGATGTGCCCGGGCGTTCTTACCCAGAGGGGCTGAGTAGGTAACCCTGAACCTTTTGGGGATTTTGTAATCCTACTATAACTGAAAAGGTTAGCCCTTTTGCAGCCCCTTAGTACCCTTTGTTTTGTTGCACGTGTTGTCGGATCCTCTCCGACACCCAAAGCAAGCCTCGGATTTCCACTGCGGGCAAGACAGGGCACTTCCAGCTTTCTTGAATTTTTCGGGGCTGAGTAGGTAACCTTTAGCTTTTCGCGGCTTATAAAATCCTACACATTCCAAAGCTTGACCTTTTTTGGGCTAGCCCCCAAGATTTAGTAGGTGGGGTTTAGTAAGATGGTTTAGGGGGCTCAGTCTAGGAGATGGTAAGTCGACTCGCTATGTTATATAATTCCCTAAACCCTAAACCCTAAACTTCAGTCATGTTCACGGCTTCACGGGAAATCTTGGTGCAATTTAGACGTACACCGAAGGGCATGCCTTAAAGCCGTTCTACGGCACCCCGTGGGAGTCAATGTAGGGGCCTAGATAATTACAAGTACTACTTTTTTGGGGGTGGGTTCTTGTATAATTATAGTATAAGGCGCCCCACAACCCTATTCCAACTATTAAGGCCCCTAGGTTATAGTCTGCCCCCGAGCCGTAGTCTGACTATTCAGGCACCTGTATTTGGAACCAGAGCCTGACAGTGGGGAGATGGAAGGTAGCTAGTTGGCACACTCCTCTGAATTTGAGAGCCACGCGCTGTTTCAAAGGATCACACCTTAGTTTGTTAAACCCTATACCTGCAGCCCTCCCTGTTTACTAAGAAGCCCTTGTGGAACGCTAGTATTAGAAAGTGCCGGCTTACGTTACCGTTGCAGTTTAGGGCTGCAGGGTGTAGGGTTTCGGCATTTTGCAGGCGTGGAGCACAAATTGTGGAAAGTCGACTGCAGAGTTCAAAGTTCAGGGCTTAGGAGGCTGACTGCAGCAGCAGTACCAAATCGCCTAGGTGATCTGGTCCTTGCTGCGGATTCCGCAGCTTTTCAGCTGCCTGGCGCGGCGTCGGGTGGATTCTGCCAGATTGCCAAGATCCGGTTTGGGTTTGATGCCGGACTAGGGTTGCAGAATTTAGGGTCCAGGGTAAGCTTGCAGCCTGCAAGCTCAACCTGCAAATTGCGGTTGAGGCCCTAGAACCTGAACACCCCCAGCCCCAAGTACATGCATATGGTCTCTTGTTAAACTCGCTTTTCAACGAACATGAAACCGTCAGATGTTCTTTTTTACTCATAGTGGACTCAATAGACTGTGTTCAGGCACCATTTGAGATAGATTTAGACGCAACGTCGCAAGAGGCAGGGCATCAACTAAACGCAGATTCAAATTCTCTTTCTAGAGTGGTCAGGCGTCGAGCCTAGGGACGCTGCAGGACTGAGATCAGCAAGGTCAAGTGGACCGACTTCTTGTTCAATCCCGATTTGAGGTGGACGTTGTTCTAATTTGTGTAGCGCATCCTGAAAATCTGGTTTGTGGGGGGGCACTTGATTGTGTCACCAGCAATCAACACCGTATCAACACTCTGATTGATGTTTGGCGACACAAAATTCTTTCTCGAGTTAATCGAGTGCTTGCAGTATTCTCGTGCCTATGCGGGCTTTTGATGGATGAATGAAGGCAGGCTCGGAGCTTCAGGTGTTTTGTTCTACAACACCCTTTTTTTGATTGTGTAGGTGGTTTTCCCACCCTGCGAGCAAGATGATTTAAGACAGCTGCATTTCCGCACAGTAATTGGCTCTTTTACACCGTGGTGTGAAGACTGTGTGAAGTTGGGTGTTAATTGCATGCGTTTGCGACATGTAACCCAGATGTACGTTCTCACGCGTTCCAACAGCTGCAGCACAAACCCCACCAAATTCAAAAGGTAGTTTCTTACTTGTCCGGTTGGCAACACACGCACATGACCGCAACGTGTTTTACAATCGTTCTCGCTCTGGATTTCAGTGATTCATGATTCTCTGGGCATTGTTCGTGTAAAGGCAGCGCGCACCATTGGGGATGCGATGTCACATGCACTAACATGAAACTTGAACCAATCATACGTAAGCCCCTCTGAGGATGGTCATGCGCGGCAACACTGGGTCGCAGCAGTAACATGTGCACGGGCACAGGATACCAGGTTTAAGATTTGGGTTTGCGGATGGTTTGAGCTGATGCTTGTGTTGCACGGCCACACCATTCAAAAATTTTACAGTCCCTAAGCTGTGAACATGCAAGCTATTTAGCATGCTTGAACCCCCTTAAACTCGATAAGCTTTGATTAAAACGAAAACCTTGGAAACATCAAGCCCTAGGCCCCAGACGCTTAACCTGTGAGCCAATTCTCGGTGCGCGGGTCTTTGCATTGCGCATGAGTTGGGTGCCGACGTGACGGTTGGGATTCCAAGCAGGAAGTACAGGTTTCATATTCAAGCGTTCAGGTTTCGAGTTACAGTTTTTGAGATCGGGGGGTCAGGGCTTAAGTGCTATCTATGTGGAAGATGTCTTCGTTCGGTTTTTGCGAAACGACGTGGTTGTGATATGATATGTCTGCTGCGATTTGAAATTGGCTTGACTAACCCAACTGCTGCCGCAATCAGTTTCATGTATCATACATCAAGATTCTTTCTGCCAGTTGTCCAACACAGTCCTGTGTAAAAGCCTTCCAGAAAGGATAGGGATAGCTGATTGTTCTGAAAGCATATTCGTTTGTCCAATATATTTTGTGAGTTTCGTCCGTGTACGGAAGCATTCACCTCGGGTTCGCACACGTGGTATTTTCCTTACTGCTTGAAGCAGTCCTACGTGTGCTCTAAATTATTGTCAGAATCGAGGTATCTTGCTTGGGAGTTGACTCCAGGTAGTGTTTCCAAAAAAACAAAACAAGAATCTTGTACCTCCAACATTGCTATTATAAAGAGTATATTTAGTCAGGCTTCAGAACGGCACGTTCCTACTTGCCACCTCGCAGGGTTACCTTAAAGTTTTGGCCCTAGTTGGCCTTAAGAATGCATGGCTAAACAGTCATTACCTGACCCGTGGATCCAATAGCCGACGATTTTGAGTTGCGGGTTAGTGCCCATAACTCCCGGCAAGGTGCTAATGGACAACCCTTAGTCCTTAAGCCCGAATCAAACACAGACTTTCAGACCAAAAACCGTCTTCCGCATACCTGGCATCTATCTATCGATGTACGTACCTGTTTATCTAAACAAAAAATATATAATATATAAATGTATGTATGTATGTATGTATGTATGTATGTATGTATGTATGTATGTGTGTATGTATGTATGTATGTATGTATGTATGTAGGTGTATGTGTATGTGTATGTAAGCATTGTTGGTACGTCTCTTATATCAGCATCTAAACGCGTGTTTAGACCCGAAACCAGAAAGTGATGCCATGGATGCCTTAGCCGTAGCCAGCAGGTCACACCCCGGCCGTCTCGGTCGCTGCTAGGGCAGCCTCCCTGCGCTTCGCAGTGGTCTCTCGCATGACTTTGGGCAGATGGGCTCCTGCAGATTTAGGGTTTAGTCGAAGGGCCTTAACAGGTATCTGGCACCAGGTTTGGGTGGTTCAAGGCGGCTTGGGGTTGGGTTAGGTTTCTTTAGTGATCTTCTCGGTTGTGGCATGATAGAGGGTGTTTTGGAGTGCATTGCGTTGTTGAGGGGTCCCCAGCAAGGGTCCTATCCCAAAGATTCACTTTTTGTTCGTCAGGGCTCCGGAAGTCATATTCGAGGCTTTTGCTGATTGGCTTGTATGATTAAGCCCCATTCTCTTTAGCTGGGTTGCTGTTGATTGTTGTTGCGTTCTGCTCATGGACTCATGGCAGGCACTGTAATGTCCACAGCGTCGTGCTGCATACCCCCTAAGAGGAATAGGGGTTATGGTTGGTGCAAGAATAGTCTACAGAGTCTACATAATGATTTGTTGGGTTCAAGGGGACCGTACTCAGAATGAAGTGTCACAGAGTTCAAGAGGCGAACATGGTCATCGTTCATGGATTGGCTTGGTGTGTGAGCTGGGTTCAGGCGTTGGTGTTCCAGCTTAGCGTGCACCAAATGGGCATACGGCTTTATCGGTATGCCTTGTATTTGGGTCTGGATTTTGGATTTTAATTTAGGCTGCAGGGCCTGATCCCATAAAGCGGCTAGGTATCTACAGTTTAATTCATATACTTCTGAGCTTATCCTTCTTCCCTGCCCCTGAAGTACAGTACAAATAAGCTCATGTGGAACCCTTTTAAGAACTTATGAACTTATTCATATCGAAACTAAGAGCTTTCAATAAGATTCTGTACCACCTTTGTGACACCCTTAAAGCTTGACCTTGAACCCCAGGCGCAAACCCTATAGCCTGAAGTTTGACATGCTCCAAGGAAATGGCGCTGCTGGCTGAACGAGTGGCGCGAGCTGCATTAGGTGTTGTCTTGCGACTCAATATTTAGGTAGTCGGGCTTAAGATTTGTATGTTAGTACGTTGGCGAGTAAATGATTGTTAGTTAGGCACTTGGACTCTGAGAGTTTGGATAGAATTGTTTCGATCATTGTTTTATGCTCTTCATAGTTGTTGTTGAAGGGTGTTTGATCTTGCGTGGCTTTGTTTCCAGGGTCCTATCAGCTTCGTTTGTCACGTTTGGATCCTGAGAATAAGCCACTTCTGAAGGGAAGGGCTTATAACTTACAACGCCTGAAGCCTAATTAACCCGGAATCCTAAACCCCGAAACCCTACACCCTATGCTCGGGATCTCGCGGTCAGCGGGGCCCAAGAGTTCGGAGCCAAGTGTGAAAAAGATATTTTGACAATTCCACACTGTGTACTACTGGAGCCATAGTTTCAGAGTCATAACAATAATCAACAATAGCAATAATAGTGGTAACAGCAATGATATTGATAGTGATAACTATAGTAGCTATTCTTATTAAAGATTGTGTATATTACGGAACTCCGCGGAAAACGTTGGTACTTATTCAGGCCTCTATACTGCTTTATACCCCAGTCCCTGAGGCAAATTTTCGAAAGGACATAACTTTGAACGTAGGCACCAAAACAAGAGTGAGTAACAGGCGGAGTTAAGAGTGTCAACAAACGGACCAAACTTCGGACCTCACGAAGTTCCGAAAACATCATGCCCCTAAAACAGAACATACCCCCTAAACTACGCACCCCCGAAACTCCATCTTGAACAGGAACTGAGGAGCTTCGAAGTCAATTAAGTTATCGGGCTTAGGGTTTCATGAATAGTCAGAAAGGCTTCAAAACGCTGGGCACGTGATCCCGGCTAGAACCAAGTACAGTGCTTTTTACTTAAAGCCCTAGGACTACTTGAGGCTCCTATGCTAGTGTCCACGGTGTAGGGTGTCGAGCTTCAGCTTTGAGAGTGTAAACCTCAGCTACCATAACCTACCTTTTCGCAGGGCTCCTACTAGTTTTTTGTATTGGAGTTCAGAATCAGAGGTACGTCCCTATAAATTCTATCAGATTCTATCATTGCACATGAATACGTGTATATATATATATACACATACATACATACATACATACATACATACATACATACATACATACATACATATCAGGGGTTATAATCGGAACCTACCCAAATTGTAGGCTTTTGTACTCTAAGGTACACCTCAGCTACTAGGACCCTAGAGGCACAAGCAACAAAAAGACTTCTGCTAAAGTCGCAAAAGTCTTTAAACCCGTCCCCCCCTCCCCCGCCCCAAAAAAAAGGAGAAGCGGGGTTTAGGGCCTATAGCTATTGCTGTTGCTATCATTTTTATTACTTGTATTTGTACTTGATTTAGGTTGGCCCCGGACCCTGAAACTTCCATTTCAAGGTTCCTGCGCAGCGCGCCGAACGCATGGGCCACTCCGCATGCATACGATGTCCTTGGTGGTTGGCTTATCTCGTCATCCTAAACCCTAAACCCTAAACCCCAGAGCTAGAGTTGACGCCCCTTCAGCGCTAAACTTCTATGCTGGAAGCTTCAGTTTAGGGTTTGGAGAAGGCTTATGACGAAATATTGGCATGCTATAAGTGTAATGGTGACAGCAAGGGAGCGTTCGTGCTAATCATTCCGACCCCTGTATTGACCGAAAGGGTTTTATGCCTCATTGTTTCTGGAAGGTCGTCACCTCGGGTCCCGCAAGAACACACCACCAGAATGAAAGTATCCTCGGTTCGGCGTTTAGTGTTTAAGGTTTCGGTTCTATAGTTGAGCCCTTAGGGTTTCGGGCCCAGCAGCCCAGGTAAAGCTTCGGGAATCCTGTTACACACGGGGCTTGAGATGTCGGATATCGCCAGACTTTCAGGCTCTTAGGCTGGCTCAGGGTTTAGGGCTCAGGGTGTTGGACTCTGGTTTCTTTTACAAGGATCTCCAAAAGAGAGGCCGATGCTTGGCAGCGCCAGAGCCCCGTTTATAGTGGCTGCAGACTTCAAACCGTGATCCCTCTCCAAAACATGTGTGTTTTGGTTTTCAAGCTGTGAGCATGAGGTCGTTCTCGATGAATGAAAGTTCCAAGAATGGAAAGGAATTTCAGACAAAAGGAAACCTTGAATGCTGACGCCAAGTAGCGTAATAAGGATTTCTAGAAGAACATACCTCCAAGACAGGCCATACATAACGGGCGCGAAATCCTTGTCTGCGATTCCCCCGGGTTTGAGGAAGTAAGTCGGGCCAAGCCATCCCTGAACACTAAACCCTAAAACGTATCCGGCCAATAGAGATGGTGCTTCGTCCACTGCCCGGCAGGCCCTAACACTAAGCCTTACAACCCCGAGCCCAAATCCCACAAGCCCTAAAATTAGCACCCTGCTTTAGGCTTACAGGGACCGAAAAAGAATCAGCAAGCAAACCCTTCTGATTAGACCCTTAAAATCTCAACTCTCATGCAACCCTTATGCATTTCCTTAGATCCCTCAAAGGAGCCTTAAACCTGAACCCCTATACCCTAAACCCTGTGCCCCATTCCCCAAGGCCTATAAACCCTGAACCTTTGACCCAAGCAATGCCCAAGAGCAACCTTTACTAAAGGCCTGGTGAACCGCGTGGTACCCCGAGTCGCTTTGTTCCAAGAGGCCGGTTCAAAGGATCAGGGGACTTAGTAACTTTAAAGCCCGGGTTTGGGATTTACGATTTAGGATTAGGGAAAGTAGATCGCTTACCGGAGTTCCCATAAAGTACCCTTGAGTAGTACAGGTTCCCAAATTAGCGGCTCTACTTTCAAGATCATCCTCTCGGGGACCTGGGTAGGTAACTATAATTTCTCCTCAATCACAACCCCGAACAGCTCTAGGTACAGTGTAGGAACCTGATTAAGAAACCCTGGCCCTATTTCCCCAACATATTAGGGTTCATGTTAAGAATCCTTACTTGCTGAGTCCCTGATCCTCCAAGTGGCTGTGCGGTCGTCCTGAAAAAGCCTGGGCCTTTTTCGTCCGACCCACCGCATAAAAACCAAGAGAATCTCAAAAAATCCAAACCCGAAGTCCCTAAGCCCCATGCCCAACCTAACGGTTTAGGGTTTAGAGTTTAAGGATTAGGGTTTAAGGTTTGAGGAACCAAGAAGACTAACGCAGGCACGGGCCATGGCTGAAAAAATCGCTGCCATCGAGCCCGAGAACCTCCAGCGAGGCGTCGTTCTCCTGGAGGGCTTCTTAGCTAAGTATCGACCTCCAGCGAGGCCTCGTTCTCCTGGAGGGCTTCTTAGCTAAGTATCGATTTGGGATATTTCTTAGCTTCCCTTGTTGTTGAATATAGAGCCCGAATTATAAACAGATAAAATTCCTCCATGCACGTGTCTTAGCCCCTGCACCATACTACCCACCATCGTGCTTCTTCTTCGGGAACCGAGAACTGTTTGGATTCACGTCCTACCCCTTGCCGGAGCAGAAAAACCGAACTCTTAACCCCCAGCCCGAAGCAGTAAACTTTCAACCGCCGGCAGTGCGGCAAGCCGTGCCGACGCAACTCCACGATGTTTGTACTAGGAGACTATAGTTATGAATACTGAGTACTTGAACCGGAGGGCTGTCCCTAAAGGATTGAGTGCAGCCAATACAAAGGGCAAAATAATTGCAATCTTACTTAGAGTATACTATACCCAAACCCTCTCCTAATCATGAAGGCCCCTATGGTAGACTGCTTAGTGCATGGTATTTAGGTATAGAATATTAATGACGACTACAGTATAGTCTAGTACACTATAGTATGTTGTTTGAATGCAGCTAGCCGGGTCCCTTGTGTGAGTTTCGCGCTTCAGGGAAGCTGCTTCTCTACGAGCAGGCGGCCAAGGCGACGCTAGCAGAGACGCTTGTCGGGGTTGAGGATTTAGGGTTAAGAGGCTTGTCCTTTTCGGAGTCTAAAGTATAAGCGGATTTGAGGGGGTTAGAGAGGTGCTTTGCTGAAATCGACAGTTAGTAATCCCCAGAACCTCAACCCAGAAGTCCCCAAAGCCCTCCACCCTACATCCCCACAGCCCGCCAGAGCCGAGGAAGTATGAGACGACAGAGCCTGCCATGCCACCAGCTCGACAGCTTTCTTTTGCTCGAGTTCTTATTGCTTAGGGCGTGGCATCTAGCCTTTGCTTGAGAGAGTCGGAAGGAGGAGGGGGTGGGCTCCGGTCTCGGGAGTTTTGAGTTCACCATGCCAGACGTCGCTTGGGGCACTGTCGGATCGTTGGCTTGGGAGTGCATTTCCTGGCATCCTTCCTGGGCACTGGCTTTGCCGTGGAAGGTCTTTGTGTCTATTCTAGGTGGTGTGGGACAGTTGTTAATTTTCCTTATTGTTCAACTTGAAGCCAGCCCTATCTATAAATATGTTTGAGGACTGTTGAAATCGACACCTAGTATTTCGTGATGTTGCAACCCCACCCCACGGTTGCTGAACTGTTATTGTGACAATAGACCCAGGCCAGAAGTGAACAAGCCAAGATTTGTGGCTGCACTTTCGCAGGTGCTGAGGTCACAGGCTGTTTCTGGTGGTGGGCCAGCACCTAGGTCAGCACCAACCGCATACTGACCAGGAGTAAATCCTCATGATTTGGTTGTGTTCTCACAGGCTCAAATCGTATTTCCCTAGGGCTTGTCAGTGAGTCAGGAAGGAAGTCCTTCCTTAAGTCCCGAAGCTCTCGAAACTCTCGTCACCTTTGTTCAAGGCTCGACATGTTCGCCTCCGATGCCTCACAGGCCGCCCCTCCGATACCTGAACCTAAACCCTAAATCACAACCCTGTCAGAGTTCTAGAAGGGGTCCATAAGTGTCCTCTAAGGCTCTGAGGGTTCTGTACGAGTGAGTATACGGCTGACCCCGGCCTTTTTTTAAGTGTTTAGGCCATTAAGGTGCGACCATATTGTATACACACTGTCCATCGAGCTACCATGTCGACACACCCTTCAAGGTGAATCTAGATAGGTAGGCAGGCAGGCAGGCAGGCAGGCAGGCAGGCAGGCAGGGAGGTTGGTGGGTAGGTAGGTAGGTAGGTAGGTCGGCAGGTAGGTGGGTTGGTCGGCAGGTAGGTAGGTTCGTAGGCAGGCAGGTAGGTAGGTAGGTGGTAGGTAGGCAGGCAGGCAGGCAGGCAGGCAGGCAGGCAGGCAGGCAGGCAGGCAGGCAGGCAGGCAGGCAGGCAGGTAGGTAGGTAGGTAGGTAGGTAGGTAGACAGAAAGACAACATATGCACTCTCAGTATAGGACCATTGGTTAAAGTCTTGTCAGTGTCTTGTTCAAGATTTCGACTGTGAAAACCCTCAACACTAAATACCTTATATCCCCAAACCCGAAACCCCTGAGCCCTACACCCGGAAATTCTTCTAAATCCCGAAACCCAAAACTCCTAAACAACCAAAGCACGCAAGCAACACCCTCGAGCATAGACCGAAGCCCTAGAGGACCAGAGGGTCCAAGTACCCGAACGATGACTGTAGGAGCCTAAATAATTACCAGTACTATTTGGGAGCTCCTTCCTATAAATACAGTATAATGGGCCCCTAGACCCTATTCTAACTACTGGGGCCCCCATATGAGCATCTTCAGGGGACCCTTCCGTTGAAGTTGAGGTTTGTCAGTTTGTCAGAGAAGACGGTCTGATAATTACGTGTTGTTTCGAATCAGGAGTCTCGCGGCATTGTGGCGCAGGGTTTGGAAAGCATGAAAGCCAATACTTCTCAACCCACAGAGCTTTTGTCCACTTACGACATCCGGACTTCAACCTTGCATCTGATCGTTGAGTACCAGGGATTGCGGTGGAAGGTTTTCAAGGTGTGTAGGCCTTATAGGACACACCCGAAACTCGTGACAGCCGCAAGAGAAAACCAAACTTCACATCTGACACCCCTGAACTTCAGGCTTCTTAGGAATCATGGTGGGATCATGAAAAGATATGTTGTGTTCTGGGTCTAAGAGCACTTAAACGAACGAAATCCTGACATATTGACATTTCATCGTTGGGTCCAGGCAAACGTCAAGAAGTTTGTGAAGCCGGGCAAGTGACACGCTGAGACGCCTCACGTTTGAAGTTCTGGAGGAAAACAGCCGCGGAGCCATTGGGTGCCAGCTTGAGGGCTTGGGGTGTCTCGGTTCAGACCTCTAGGGAATGAGTCCCGCATATGTGGTTTATCAGTGAAGACGTGAAAATTCCGTCTAGCAAAACCCAAACTCGGGAGGGTGTTCCAAATTTATTGACGGGACCTGTCTAGGAACCATTATAGGCACCCTATGAGGCACCCCGCTTGGACCCTGCTCCCCAAACCCGGGGAATCCGTAGTTCCCAAAACCCTAAACCCTACACCCTAAACCCTAATCCGTAGTAGATTATCTCAAACCCAGACCCTGCTCTAATTCCCAAGGCCGCCTTTGGCTTCAGAATCGCATCCCAGCACAGACCCCAACCCAGCGCTCGAAGCAGAAAGAACATGGGAGGTTAGGGTGTAGGGTCTAGGGTTCAAGGCAGAAAGAGCATGGGAGGTTCCGAAATAAGGAGGTACCTTGTTTTGGGGTCCTTATAATATGGATCCTACTATTTAAAGTACTATATTAGGATCCCCAAGTTTTTGGAAACCCCCACATGGGAGGAAGCCTCCGCAATTGGTGGCATGTCTCCTTTATTACATCCCTTACCCTGAGGGTACACCCCACTCTGAACCTGAAGCGGCAAATAAACCCTAAAGCCTTGAACCCTCAATCCCTAAACCCAAAAGCCCTGAACCCTAAAACCCTACAGCCCAAGCGACAACTTCACTTCCTGCATCTCGTGCGTGCACTTCTTTGACCCTGCCAGGTCCCCTCCTCCACCGTGGGTGGGCCGCAGGACGCAGGGTTCATTCCGGGGGTTCCTATCAGGGTTCCTTTAAGGCTTAAGGGGTGTAGGGCTTTAAGGTTTAAAGCTTAGGGTTTAGGGTTTTAGGGTTCAGGGTTTAGTGTTTAAGGGTTCTTAAAAGGTTTAGGTGACCTTGCCTAGGGCTCACGGCTCCCGAGGAGCATTGGCGGGTTTAACAAGTGGATTTGTTTCTTGAATTAAGTAGTACTGTACCGCAGATAATATCCTTTCGGGATTTGTTGGATACAAGTTGTCAACCAGATAATCCGTCTAAAAAACCCGGGATCAGGGCCCATTCGATGCACTTAGGGTTGCGGGTGGCAGTGCAAGTAAAGCAAATCTAAAGCGAGACTAACCTGAACAGCTCAACCCTCTCGAAGTCGCAAGCCCTTGGTTAGACCCTTTCCCTTCACCCTTATCCCTAAATCCCAAAGCCTAAACACCTAAACTGTAATCAATTACAGCCGAGATAGGCCTTGACTTTCGAACCCAAAAGCCTCTGAAGCCCGCGATCCTAAACCCAAGATCCTGGACGGTCGAAACTCTCTCAAAATTCGGGTTTAGGTTTTCGGGCCTCTAGGGCTTCAGGTTCCCAAAATCGCCCTACATCATCCTAAAGCCCTCAGAGATACCCGATTCGTGAGCTATCTGTGGAACCTTAACATCTGAACCCAAGAGCTTTCTTGAGACCACTTAGGTACTTGGGTTTAGGGATAAGGGATCTAGGCTTTAGGGTTTAGGGGTCTAGTCTAGGACAGCTTCTTAAAGCTTTGAAGCCCACCATGAACCAATCCTAAACCCCAACAGCGGAGTCTGAGTGATCAGCACTGTTCCTTTATGGTCGCTACACAAGTATGCTATCGTATAAACCAAAACCACTGTTCTACTCGTCCCCACATTGTCTCCTGAAAAGGACGCTGCTGGCCGGCGGAGTGCTCGTCGGCTCGTTCCAAGCCGTTTGCCTCAACAGAGTTGGCAGGGATGGGCCCAGTAGTACCCTTTGTTTTAGGTAACAGAGGCACCAATGACTCCTGCTATTTTGCAGGTTTCAGGCTTCCTGCCTGCTTCAAACTCGGGTTTTAGCTGCATTTCAGAATTTGCTGCGTCAGAATGCGGGGGTTGGGGTGGGGGGGTGGGGGGTGATAGCGACACGTTGGACAGCGACGTGCTTGACTGCTTTCATGTTGTCGAATACTAATGCTAATGATTGTTGGTTTCATGCGTTTTTCGAACATAGGGCTCTTGATGCTAATACTTCTTCTTATATGCTGTCTATATTATAGGTTTTCCTACTATTCAGGGAGGTCAAAGGGATCCAGGGCCTCTTTCGGCAATACTAGTGCTAGTGATTTTGGGTTTCTTGCGCTTTTCGAATGCAGGGCTCTTGATCCTAATACTTCTCCTTATATGCTGCTGAACTCATGTTGAAATCAAAGCACACAATATACAGGGATACATTTCGGAACAGGGCCTCGTTCAACTACCTGATTTCAACCTCTGGCAACTGAATATCATCAATGAGTGAGCGACAAGCACGCACAAGCAACGAAGTCATCAACGTAAAGCTTTGCCTAAACGCTTGCTTCAGAATGTGCTCAACACCACTGTAAAACGCACAAAATGCCCCATTCCAAGTGACCCCTCTCGAGGATCGCGCTCTTCCTTGCAACACATGTCCCGAGCAAATGTGTGCTGAAACCACGGTTTCGCGCACGTTTAAGCCTGCACACCGAAACACTCACACGCAAACCGTCAGGAGTCACTCGAGCCCCCGTTAGCTTGTTTTAGGGTTTAGGGTTTAGCCTTTTCATGTTGGTGTCTCCTCATCAAAACTGAATAATGGGAAAAAGGGGTACCATTAGTATTCAGCGCTACTGTCAAACATACAGTGTTTACAAGAGGTTGCAGGGCTTTGTAGGGCCTTGCAGTCTTTATGGGAAGACGGCTGAAACCCAAAATTGAAGCAGTGTCTCCTTAGGGCTTTGGGTTTGGGGCTTTACGGATCCTTTAGAACTCTACTACAATCTACCCCCAAGCCCCAGTCTGATTGTTGATGCCCATACAATATATTCGCCACCCCGTCTCCGACACCTCGAGATCTCACAGATCTGCGCCATGAGCCTGATATACCATGCAGACACACTTTAAACCCTCGAACCAAGCATCAATCCCCCAACGCACCAAGCCGTAAGCTCTAAACCCTAACCCTCAGTGCTGACTGCAAAAGGGTAAACCAAGAAACAAAAACCCTAAGCCTCAAAACAATCATCGACCCCGACACCCCAATACCCCGACACCAAACCGAAAAGAACGAGAAGCCGAGACTACAAATTCTATAGCCACCATGCCCTGACTGCCCCTAATCTTCAAAGTCCGACGGACCTCATAGTTGCGAATTTGGGATAATTACTAGTTTCGTCGGTTAATATGTTCGAGAGTACATGCTTGTTAATTAGATCGCCAGGGCAGGGGCCACTAGACCCTCAAAGGTCCACAACCTGGTCCTGGAGCTCTAAACATTAGACTCTACTGTAGGCTCTAGCCTCAAACCCAAGGCGTTAAAACCCAAAGTTCCGGCAAGCTTGGCCTTTGAACCAAGAGCATTCAGACTCCGGAGGCCCAATGAAGATCACACATCATCCGCTCACCCCTCAAAACCTGAAGCCGGAAGCTGCTACAATCCAAGGTCCAAAGCCTTACACAACGAATTGCGGCATTTTGGTTATGAAAAAGGGGGTTCAGGGTTTAGGGTGTGGTGTGATCTTCTGAAAGTTGGGGACCCAGGACTCCCTCAAAAGAAGCCTTTGACTCTGACATTTGCCACCTGGGCAACCCAGGTGCTTCGGTGCCAGCTCGGTGCGACTCCCCCTGCCGTGGTACATTCTCGACTTAGTAGGACAAAATGGGTTATGCGGCGATCATCACAGGTGTTGGGGCGATACTGAGCAGAGTGGCGATCGTCACAGAGTCGCTAGCTCCAAGTGCAGCAGAGCCCCTGTAGTTGGAGCAGAGCAGCCCGAGACATTCAACATTCAAGAATATTCTCTACAAGAAAGTTATTACGAGAATCCAACGCAAATACCAGCTACTTGTCCCGTTCTAGACTTTGTAGACTTTGGGGTTAGCAGGGTGTCAGGCGAAGCTGAGTTTATTTGGAGTTGTCCAGGGTTTCAGACCCCACAAGACAAGCAGCATGATAGGATCCTGGTTGTCTTGCTGCCAGGTTTCTTGCAACCTGTTTACGGCTGGATACTTGGTCTATCAGGCACCGAATCCGACTGTCGATGTAGCTGGCTCGAGGTCATGGTCAAATGAGCACATGATGCTTCTCCCAGAGCCCGATACCACCAACCAACAACCCCTCGACACAACACTTGTGGGGTCCGTTTTACAGGGGTGTCGTACTATATTGGTGACCTGAACAAGGACCCCAATTTAGAGAACCACCCACATCCTGGCTTTGAAAAATAAAAGATCTTCGGAGCGAGGATGCCCTGACCCAGATTCGAAGCACCCCTAGCCCCACATCTTCCAAACAGCAAGCCACACTCAACTACCAACAACCCCACAACCTTCGGTACGACTGCCTAGAAGCCGGTGTAGTAAAATTCTACGACTCCCTAGAAGCCCCTAAACCCCAAACCCTGAACCCCTTAAGCCCTTTAACCCTAAACCCTCAACCGTTAACCCTGAAGCCCTATAATCCTTAAGCCCTTAAGCCCTTAAGCCCTTGTAGTAGGAGATGAACTGTCTGCCATGCTCCGATCTGGTCTCAGTTTGGCCCTCTGCGGCCTCGGTGTCTTCGGGACACCACCAGAGAAGGCAAGGCTTGATAGGGTGTTTTGCATGTAAATGCATATAGATAAATATAGTTCATGCACATACATATATATATATATATATATAGATCTCTCTCTAACTTTATTTTATATATATATATATATATCTGTGCGTGTATATACTAGTTGTATATGTATATATACATACATGCACGCATGTGCGTGTTTATATAGGTACGCAACACGTATATGTTCGTATATGTGTACAGGTACATACTTGGTAGGGTTTTGCTGTTCTTGGAGTTTTTAGTGTAGCAAAGGGCGTACGAGGCTTGATAGGGGTTCAGGGTTGTTTACCACTTCTTCTTCTTCTTCAAGGCCCAGCCTCTCAACTC